GTGCGAGTAGAACGTGTAGTCGCGGTCTGTTGGGTGTTGAGATCTCCATATGTCTATGAGGCCCGTTTGGGTTATGAAGTCGGCCAGCGTTGTCTGTCTATGGATGGGGAGATTGTAGCGTTGAAGTCGCCCCCTATTATTCTTTGGTAGTTAGGATGTTGGCTAAGGTGAGCTTGTATTTTCTGCCAAAATTGTGGGTCTGGAGTCGTCGGTGCATATATGGAGGTCAGAGCTATTTTTGTGGGTCCAATAGTGCCAAGTGCTGTTATATATCGTCCTTGTGGGTCTTTTTGGACGTCTTTAAGGTGTATAGGGCAATTTTTTTTCAGTAAAATTGCCACTCCATTATGTTTGCCTGTATGTGAGTTGGCGAGGTGACAGGTTTGGTAGTGACGGCTTAGGAGAGGGAACGGGCGTGTATGAGCGTAGTGTGTCTCCTGGAGGAAGACCACGTCTGCCCCCGACCTGTTGGCCCAGCGCATAACCCGGTGGCGTTTCGAGGGTTGGTTGAGCCCCTTGCAGTTAATGGATATGCATGTTACCTTAGCTAGCATTGTGGTGTGAGGGGTACTGCGGTGTCGATCGTGCCTTGGTCCTGCTCCCTGTGTTGTGGGTGGAGGTTTGGGGATGTTGCGTCGGGTTTCTTCCCGTTTTGGATGGGGTTCTAAGGTCCCGTGTCCCGCCATGGTACTCTTCGGGGGTAAACTGTGGGTACAAAGAAAAATAACTGTGAACATATATACAACTTCCTGGACTTATGGTCTGTGCCAGGTTCAAGTTTAGTGGTGTGTTGGGAATGTCCCTTAGGTGGGACTCCAGTGCCCAGGTGTTAACGTGGGGCGTGGTGGGGGTAAGTCCTGAGGTGCGTCCCGGTCCAGGTGTGTGCGGATTTCCACTGAGCAGTCGTGGGTTGGGAGTGGGGGGTGGTGTCTTTGGGTCTGTTAGTTACAGATCTGTCTGGGGAGGTTGGTGGCTCCCGTGGGTTAGGGGGCCCTTCTGGGGGAGGGGTGTCAGCATGGTCCCTTGGGCTGGGGTTCCTGGTGTCGAGGTCGGGGTTAGGGCGGTCCCGGCTTTCCTGGGTCCCTGGTGTTCGGTTATGGGGCGTTCTCCCTCCCGTCTCCCCCAGGTTGTTCCAGTGGGGTGGCGTGTAGCCTATTGTCTGGGGGTCAGGTGGTTCAGTGTGGGTTTTCCCTATCGTCCCAGCCCGTTCCCACTTACTTCCTCCCCCCTCCCAACTCCCCCTAGTTTTACCCGCTGAAGTGGTGTGGCGTTCCCCCTGCTCCCCTACCCCCCGCTGTCTGGTCCCCTTGGTGCTAGGTGTGGTGCCTCTTTTCTAGTTTGAGCCGTGCACATTTGCAGGGCTCGCTAGCTGTTCACATGTATACAAGTAGACAAATAAACAATCGTGGCACGTATGACCAGCGTCTCTACATTTAAAGTACGTAAAGGATATTTGATGGGTCGTTGGATAGGTGCAGTCTCTGTGTTACGGCTTGCTCTTTATTGAAACCGTCGTTTCGGTGCGTCTTGTCTGGGTTCAGGGTCGGTGCGATGGAGTCAGGTCATCTTCGGTCCGGTGCTTGGCGTAGCTTTTGGGCTGTTCCCGGCGTGGTGGTATCTTTGCGGCGATGGTTTTTCCCACAGTGGTTGTAGTGCTGGGGGTCGTCTCCGTGTAGTGGTGGTAGTGGTGTCAGATCTTGCCGCTGGTAGGCGCAGGCCCAGTTTGGAGGCAAAAGCTTGCTGTTTGGAGGGGTCTGTGAGGATGTGGGTCGTGTTGTCTCTGCGGACAAGGAGTTTGAAGGGGTGCCCCCACCTGTAGGCTAAGCCTGCTTGGGTTAGTGCCGTTGTGAGCGGTTTCAGCTCTCGACGTTTGGCTAGCGTGGTGGGTGCTAGGTCTTGGTAGAATGCCAGCGTGGCGGTGTCCAGTTTTGGCAGGCTTTTTCTGGTCGCCGCCATAAGTGCTTCCTTGACGGAGTAGTAGTGAAGCCTCACTATCACATCTCTGGGGGCTGTGTGGTCTTGGCTAGGGGGCTTCAGGGCTCTGTGGGCTCTGTCCATGGATAGCTCTTGTGGGGTTTTGTCAGGTAAGAGGTTCAGAAATACCTCTTGCAGTGTGGAGTGGAGTAACTCTCCAGTGATGGTTTCTGGGAGGCCTCTGATCCTGATGTTGTTTCGTCTGGATCTATTGCTGAGGTCTTCCAGTCCGTTTTCCAGTGTTTCTATGCGTGATTGCAGAGTTGAAATGGTGTCTGCCTGGGTGGTCACCGTGTCCATAATGTCGTCCACTCTGTGCTCCACTTGCCCTGTCCGCTCCCCCAGATCAGTGATTTCTGCCCTCAGGCTCTGGAGCTGCTTCTCCAATTCTGCTGCCATGTGATTTTTTATATCGGCTGCTGCCTCTTTAAGCAGCCGCTGGAGGTCGGCTTTCGTCAGCGGTGCTGAGGGCTCGCTGTGCTCCGAGTCAGAGTTTTCAGCGCCACGTGGGGAAGATGGCGCCGGGTCCCCCTGCACTCTGAAGTGCGAGGCGACCGACGGCTGCGTGTCCCGGTTTTTCCGGCTGCCGCCCATTGCTGTGGGGTACCCGGTGGGTAAGTGGGTTGGTTGGTGGGGATTGCCGCCCTGCCAGTGCGCTTTGAGTTGCTGTTATGTGCCTGGGTCTCGGGAGCTATCGGCTCACGCGGCCATCTTGGTTCCCGGCCAGGCTCCGCCCCTATATTGCTTTTTCTAATATAAAATATTGGTGCTTTCAGAGTAAAACGTTTAATTATACAGTAAGCATACTCACATGCAGACACAGACAATCTCACTGACACACACAAGCTCATTAATACACAGCCTCATAGACAAACAATCTCACTGATATACATAAGCTCATTGATATAAAAACACATGCTCCTCACTAGCGGGCACACACACACACACACACACAGCTTAATGTAGTGGTTCTGGTGTCTATAGCCTGTCCCTGCAGGCTTTTCAATGTAAACACTGACTTTTAAGAGAAAAGGCAGTGTTTACATTGCTTCCTAGTGACACCTCTAGTGACAGACACTCAGACGGTCACTAGAGGCGCTTCCCGTGTCAGTGCGGATAGGCTGAGATCATCAAGCTTGATGATCTCAGTCATAGAGCCAGGGCCAGTCGAGGGGAGATCAGCACAACGTTGGAAAAAAAAAGGTAGTAAAAACACTATTTTAACGCACACACCCCATGTCACATACATATACCATGACATACACACACACACACACACACCCCATG